TTTTCTTTGTTGACCATTCGATGGCTTTGAGGGAGTGGGTGAGCTTAGGGACTCCTCTTAAGAGAAGAGGTTTGCCGTCCATTAGGCTATACCCTGGAAACTTTAAACGTGATACTTGAAAATTAACCCCACTTTTCTTTTGTATGAAAAATTAGAAGTCTCACTTCTCTGAATTTTTTCTCACTGCAGTGCATTGGAACCAGGTTCCCTTCATCGAGTTATATATCCAGTATTGATGTCATATTCTACACCAGATAAACAAGCTTTTCCACGCCACTCTTTGAGTCATGCTGCGCTGATTACCAGCGGGAGTCCAATATTTTTCCTTGATGCATTTACAACTCTAATTGTGTTCTATTCTTCTACTGCAGACCCCACCCTTCCTTTTCCTCCACCTCAAGATTGTAAGTTGTTTTTACGTTGGAATCTGCTTTTATGCAGAAGAAATTATTTCTTCCAAGAATATCCTCGATCCTCGTTCTGAGACAAAAGGTCCTCTTATCAGGTTTATTGAGGAGTACAATTAACAAACTGAAGCAGGAAAGGAGTATCACTCCAAAATTATTTTTTATCCGGGGAGGGCAGGATGACGCCTCTGCCTTTGAGAACTACCTCATTGAAGAGCAGGATGTTGATGGTAGTGGCTTCACTAGTGTCATGGGTTTTGTGTCTTTCCTTGAAGACGTTACCCAAAGAGTGATGGAATACATGAAATAGAAGACCAGACAGGAACCTGCGCATAATTCACCAAGCACAGGAAAAGGCACGTCAACACATTCATTGATGAAATGTGCATGTTCATACAATCTGCTTGCAGTTTCAGAACTCTGTTTTGCCAATCAAGATTTGAAAGTTCTGTATCGCCATGGAATCAAAGCATCAGATTGTTATCAATTTGCCTGCATTAACCAGTTGGAAGTTCCATTGTCAAACTTTGGAACACACTCATCATCTCTGTAATTCAAAGTTGCAATCATGGGAGATCTGCCCTCCATCTTGATTAGAATACGGATAGAGGTTAATCAAATTGTACTGCGAGTTGCTTTCTTTGAGGTTTTATTTTTATTTTTGTTAGTATTATTTTTTCCCCTGTTGTATGGGGAACAAATAATTCAATTACATTGAGAGGCAATAGATGCATCATAATACTTCTTTGGGAGTAATACTCTCCAGTCTTTGATTCAGTGGCTCAAGATCAGCTGGAGAGGAAAGCACTGTTCTGTTCTGAGTTGATTTAGTAGTTGCTTCATTTGAAATCTCCAAGCAGAGATTGGTTTATGTTTTCGTCTCGTCGATTATATCTCCATAACTTTTATATATAGACCAAGAGCCCTTCTACGAACTATTTCGTTGAGATCGTGGACAGCACAAGATGTGCGTTTTTTTTTAGAAGAAATCCTTTTGAGAACAATGTTACAGCATCTTGATCAGTGGGCATTGTAAGAGTGAAATATCAGGAGTCAGTGTCTCTTACAGCGGCCATTGCTCAATATGTTATGACTATGGAAGTCATTGAGGATGCGATGGAAGATGAGCAGATTTGATCTTGAGATGTAAACTTAAATTTTGAATTCTTTTACACATGCTATATATTTATATATATGCGATCGCGCGCGTGTGCTGTAAAGTTGCAGTGATGATAGCAAAGACTTCTTTTACAGTTAAAGAGTTCTGAAGCTTCATACCGCCCAGTCATCTCGTCTACAGAGGTCTGTCTCTCTCGTAGCAATCTGCTCCATCTTGAGTGTCTCGTTTTTAAAGAGGAAAGAGATGTCCTCCCCATGGGCATGAGTTCATGGCGAAGCAAAACCCTAAAATGCCCAGAAAGGCTCCCTCAAGTTCCCCAGCGTCTCGGATCAAACATGCTTTTGCTTTGCAAATCAGTACCGGAACTGTATGTTACTTCACGGAGGCCCCGGAATCTGAAACTGGGCAATTTACTGAAGAACAAACTGCACATATTTGCCTCTCATCAAAAGCAATTAACATAATCGCTTTATTGTGCATGTTTGATCCTAAGTTGCCCTCTGTCTATTATGTGTTGATCTTTTAACACTGACAGAGTGAATTTTCTTTTGGAAAGTTGATTGATCCGTTTGTTTGTTTGCAGAAAAGTTATTTCCTTTTAAAAAGTGAATTATAAGGAAAGTGAATTCCGAGAAAGTGAATTCCAGGAAAGTGAAGTATTTTTCGATGTTTGGCAGTGTTATGAAAAATAAACTGGAAAACACTTTCCAGTGTTTGGTTATGTTATGGAAAATGAACTGGAAAATAATTTATTAATATTTTATTTTTCTCAAGTTTATTAAAATAAAAAGGAATAAATCTTACAAATTAAAAAGTTGAATAATAATAAAATTAAAAAAAAATAATTTCATAAATTATCTCAAATAAAATAAATAATAATCAAAACAATAAAGATCAAATCTTAAAAAAAAAAATGAAGATATTAAAATAATAATAATTAACATTTCATAAAGTATTTCAAATAAAATAAATAACAATCAAAAGAATGAGGACCAAATTTGATAAAAAAAAATTCAATAAAAAAATAATGGGAGAAAAACAAATAACAATTATAAAAATAAGGACCAAAGTAAATATAAAAATTAAATTTTAAGAAATGAAATTGAAAAATAAATATTTAAAACAAAATATATATAGCAATCAAAAGTTTGAAGATCAAATTTGATATAATCAGCAAATAATGACATTTCTAAACTTTTCACAACTTCTGAAAAGTGTTTTCCTCCCAAATTTTTCAGGAAAACACTTTCTTGAAAATCAAGCCAAATTTTCCTTTGACTGGAAAGTGTTTTCCGTTTACCAACTTTCATAACAGTAAACAAACACAAAAAAGTTTGGAAAGTGTTTTCCAAGAAATCACTTTCCGGAAAACAAACACAGCTAAAAGGAAAATACTTTCCTGAAAATCAAACTAAATTTTTTTTTACTAAAAAATATTTTCGTTGACCAGAAAGTATTTTTTGTTGACCGGAAAGTGTTTTCCGTTGACTGGAAAATGTTTTTTGTTGACCGGAAAGTGTTTTCCGTTAATCAACTTTTCTAATAACAAACAAACACATGAAAGTTTGGAAAGTAATTTCCTGGAAACTGTTTTTCAGGAAATAAACATGACCTTAAAATGTATTCTTCCATGCTTCAAATCATCAATCTAGATATAAAAAAAAATTAATAAAAAATAAAATAAAAAAGCTCCTTGATATGAGTCCCAGCACGCGGATACACAACATTTAAACTTCAGAGTCACGTTTCAGGTGACCTTAGAAGTGTTCCATCCAGGCAGTGGACGATGTTTTCCAACCTCGTGACAAAACAGCACCATTTGCTCCTGCGTTGTGAGATGAGCATGTGATACTATATAATATGCACGTGCTACGCAGGTGGCCCATCCTTTCTCCTTTTTTTTTTTAAGATAAAAAAATATCAAGGTAATGCAAGTGTTTATTAAAAAAAAAAAAACTTAAATGATTCACTTCATTAAAATAAATAAATAAAATACATAATAGTAAATAATAAATGATAAATGATAACAAAAAATGTTAAAAAAACTCTACTCATATTTATTTAAGTTAACGTATAAATTTTATGATTTGATTCTAATACTATAATAATTCTATTTAAAGTAACTTTAATAAATTTTTTAAGCTTAATCATAAAACAAACCAATATTAAAAAGTAAGATAACTCGAATTATTTTTAGAATCAATAAAAAATCCTATAAAAATTAAATAAAAAAATAACAGAGCTCGGTTTCTAGTTTAATAAATATCAAAAGATAAAACTAAAAAATTATGAACTAAAAAAAAAAAAAAAATAAGCAAACACGGATGAATATCTTAAACCTGGATTAATCTTCTAAATTCATAACATGTGAAATCCTAGATTTTAGCTCAACCAATAAACTCAATTTTAACCAATTTAATATTGAATAATAAAATTAAAAGAAAAAATTAATTTTTTTTTGTCAGAGTAGAGAAATAATAATTAAAAAAATATAATCAAATTTGATAGGAAAAAAATCGGATAAATATGAAATCATAAAAAAATATTTTTTAAAATCATCTAAAATAAAACAAATAGTAATGAAAAAAAAAGGAATAATCAAAATTGACAAATAAAAAAAATCAAAGAAGCTCAAAATTGAACAAATAATTTTAAATAAGATAAATAATAATTAAAATAACAAAAATAAATTATATGACAAATAAAAAAAATCAAAGAAGCTCAAAATTGAACAAATAATTTTAAATAAGATAAATAATAATTAAAATAACAAAAATCAATTATAAAAATAAAAATAAATTTGAGAGTTGCTTTGAGAATGTAAAGTACCATACATTGAAATTGAAAATGAAAAAAAAATAAAAATTATTTTTTATTTAGAATAAAAATTCCATAACTAGATGGACATGCACATGCATTAAAATTGAGTGGTAGTTAAAGACAATTTGATCAATATACTAAAAGTCATCATCGTATCATTTTTATATTTTTAATATTATTTATATTTATTAAATTATTAAAACTTCACTGAATTAACTTGATAAAAATAAAAAAAACCTAATATATACCATATAATTTATTTATTTTTCACGTAAAAAATAATAAAGGACTAATTTGTCTCGAAAGTAACTCACCAATAACCGATTGATCATATTGAAAGAACATTACCAACCCAAATAGCAAGGTCCTTAGGTTTTGTTTTGAGGTGTAAAAATATTATTATGATGTTTTAATTCAGAATAACTTGTATCTTGGTTTATCACCAAAGAAAGAAGGAGCTGTTTTAGATTTTTGTTAATTATCACGATTTTTGTTTCTATAAGAACGACATCATGCTGTGCCAAATTAATAATTTTGGGTTACCCTAAGAGATGTTTAATTGTTAGGTCAAGCTTCCTTATCCGCATTAAAACAATAATAACACAATCTGTTGGTGCAGTTGTTTATATATATATATAAAGATTTTTTTTAAGAAAACAGAATACCACTAATCAATATTTTCAAGCTTCCGCTATGAAGTGCTTAGGGTTTGCTTACCCTTTGAAACAGGTTTTTTATTTTTGAAAAAGTCTTTCTGTCAAATCAATTCAAGCACTTTCTCTCTCCCAGCTTGAAGTTGTAGAGCAGCAATTATCGCAGGCAGAAAGTTTCTCCTCTCCTCTCCTCTCCAGTACGTTCTCAACGTTTATTACATTTCTCTTCTTCTTGTCTTCTGGGTTTTCTCTCCCCTCTTTTTCGTCCGTTGATTTCTTTTTTTAGTGTCTGCGAAAGTGTTTTTTTCTTAACAAGATCCCATATCTGGCATGTGTTGTTACTTCGAACCGAATCCTTGAAAAAAAATGATGTAATAAATTTTTTAGCTAAAAGCATTATTATTATTATTATAGACTTGTGATTAAAAATCTGAAGAAAGGAAATCCAAAAAGATTAAGAGCCAGGTTTTGACTAAGATTTAGCCAACCTGGAGAACACTGGCATTTTGAGAACTTACCCCATCAAGCCTGGTTAGGGTCTGATCCGTACCGGGGACTTGATTAACTGGATTTCTTTTGGGGCTTCATTTTTCAGCTGTTCCTGGTAGTTTTAGATTTCTAGCTAGGTCATGTATAGAAAAGTTTGATGCTTGCCATGTGTTTGACTGCTTTTGTCCTACAATCTGTGGTTTATGAAATTCTTTAGGTTGGGACTCGATAAATGTCAAACCTGCAAGTTCTAGATTCACAGTTTATATGCAGGGAAACTAGAATGGTAGAACAAGGTAATATTTGCTTAAGAATCTTGTTTGTTTGCAATGTTTGTTGAGAAATATGAATTTTTGATAGGTATGTTTTAAAGCAATGTGACAGCAAACTAAATGTATAGAATCTCCTCTGCATCAAATGCGTGTATGACTCGTAGGGATCTTTGTAGGGATCTTTCATCTTTCCAAGGTTTAGTACGAATGATTCTTTTGTGTCTGGAAACTCTGCACTTGTTATTGAAAACTTATGTATAAAGTCCATCCTGTTCGGTATGTTTAGTTTGATGTGTCACCTTGAATTGTTGCAGGAAGGTGCACAGACTGGTATGTTAGTCTGGAACTCGTATTTTTTTGTGAGATTCGATCATGTTGTGGTTTGATCACCTTTTGTTTCACCCAGCCCTTCTCACTTTTATCTGAATGACTTGAAAAAGAATCATGGAGACCTCTTATGTGTAACTTTGACGTGTCACCGTGATTTAGCTCAAATCAGTGTGATTCTCTCCTTAAATTATTCAATTATCTACAAACTAAAATTTTTATTTCTGTTATGAGGTTCTTAAATGTGACCTTTGTAATGAAGCCTCTTCATGCTTAAACTTGCACTTCTATTCCAGGACAGTGGTCGCATGACCTTCCTAAGCTACATTGCTGTCATTCAGAAATCTCTTTTACCTTTCTCTGTTACTACTGCTAATTTTATCATAAATCCTTTAGTGGAAGTCTTTCACATTGCAACCACTTTGAACTCCTTTTGGCCTTTCATTTTATTTCCTCCTTTCAATATGTGTATACATCCCATGAATTCTTGTGGCCTCTGTACCCTATTCACAGTTGCCTTGCAAGCTTGTGTACTTAGATATATAAGATGCCAAGTACAAAGGGAAATGGATCAGCAGCTGCTGAGCAAGCAGAGTCTGAAAAGCCAGTTGAGTATGATGAGAAGGTTGATCTTGATGAAGACTATGATCCTGAGGAAATGATGGATGAAGAGGTTGAGTATGAAGAAGTAGAGGAAATAGTGGAAGAAGAAGTGGAAGAAGAGGAAATAATAGAAGAGGAGGAAGAAGTAGAGGTGGAGGAAGAGGATGACAATGATACTAGAAATGCTAATGCAGGTGACGAGACAAAGGTTGAAGATGAGGATGAGAAGAAAAAATACGACGAGCTCCTTGCCCGCCCTCCTCATGGTTCTGAAGTATATATTGGTGGCATTCCAAATGATGCTTCCGAGGAGGACTTGAGGGATTTTTGCGAGACTGTTGGAGAAGTTACAGAGGTAAGCTCGACTTCTACTCATGAAGCATCTGTGTATATGATCTTTGTGAAGATGAAGACTCTGGCAAATTTTATGACCACAGGTTCGAATTATGAGAGAAAAAGATTCAAGTGAGAACAGGGGCTTTGCATTTGTGACCTTTAGAAGTGTTGATTTGGCTTCTATGGCAATTGGTGAGCTGAATAATACTGAATTCAAGGTGAATGTCCTTACTTTAATTTGTTTGTGGTAGTTGTGCTCATGCTTGTTTCGAGATTTTTTAAGCATGCTTCTTCAGTTACATGTGTTGATATTTCTCTCACTCAGGGTAAAAAAATCAAATGCTCAACATCTCAGGCGAAGCACCGGTTGTTCCTTAGCAACATTCCTAGAAGTTGGGGAGAGGATGGTCTGAGGAAGATTGTGGCTGAGGTGGGGCCTGGAGTTACCAACGTGCAGTTGGTGAAGGTTAGTGAAATTAGTGTTCTACTTGACTTTTCAATACTTTCAACAGTGTTTTTATTTCTCATCTTTTTTATAAAGAAAAAATTGGGCAGCACGTGCAATTTACTCATTGGTTATTGAACAATTGGTCACAGGAGAAGAGCTCAAGCAATAACAGGGGCTATGCTTTTATTGAGTACTACAATAATGCTTGTGCTGAGTATTCAAGGCAGAAGATGATGGATCCAAAATTTAAGCTGGGTGATAATGCCCCAGCTGTGAGCTGGGCTGACCCTAAAAATGCTGACTCTTCTGCTTCTTCACAGGTTTGTAAAACATTTGAATTGATTAACCATCTTCATGATCTAGTTTTTTGCATCTGGTTTTCTTTGATTATGCTATGATATGCCTTGTGCTTTGGAATTTAACTTGGTAAATCTCACCTCAGCTTCTCTCTTACAGGTTAAGGCACTATATGTGAAAAATTTACCAAAGACGGTAACCCAAGATCAGTTGAAAAAGCTATTTGAACGACATGGAAAAATCACCAAAGTGGTTTTGCCGCCAGCAAAATCTGGACAGGAGAAAAATAGAATTGGTTTTGTGCATTTTGCTGAGAGGTCTAGTGCCATGAAAGCATTGAAGGATACTGAAAAATATGAACTAGATGGTGATCATTGATTTATCCATCTTATATGTATTTGTTATCTCATTGCAAGTGAACAAGTTATTTATGTTGGTTTGGTTTGTTGTGATTTTTAGGCCAGCTTGTGGAGTGTGCTCTTGCAAAACCTCAGTCAGAGCAGAAGGCTGCTGGAGGCTCAAACTTGCAGAATACAGGTTTGTTACCAGGTTACCCACCTAGTGTTGGTTATGGTATGATGGGGAATGCCTATGGTGCTCTTGGAGCAGGATATGTTACAGCAGGCTTTGCACAGGTCAGAAGATGACTCATTGTACACTTAGTAATCTTATTTTGAACTACCTGGTCTGGACGGCTATCTTCTATATATATTTTGCTCGTTAACCATTTTGGATATGGCCTTAATGTGAAAGAGGATTGCCTGCCATCTTTTCTAGTGAATTTTGAGCTTTGGCTATGGCTTTATGATACATATGCATGAAGATTAACTGATCTCTTTTTCATTCTGGTGAAATCCAGTTTCTGTGCTGTTATAATGGGCTGGTTTTTATTATAAGCCTTACAATTGTAGATCATTATGTTCCATCTATCCAACATTAGGAGAGAAGCTCTGACTGAAGCCGATTATTATTCAGGCACTTGCTATTTTCGCCCCCCATCTCCTCATTTTCCTCCCGCTCTAGTTTGTTGTTATTCTTTTTGAGCTTCAAACTTTTGGTCAATGAGCTATACAAAAGATGTAATAAAATGTATGCTATTGACACCTCATTAGAAGCTGCAGAATGCTGGGATGATGGATTCTAATAGTACAATTCATTTATTTGTTTCTTCTTTATTAAAACTTAAATTCTGCAGTTTCTTGCTTTCGGCCAATATTAAAGTCTTCCCTTTTTTTTTTAGCAGCCATTGATCTACGGTAGTGGACCATCCCCTGCTGGCATGGCAATGATGCCAATGCTTCTACCTGATGGGCAGTTCGGATATGTGCTGTAAGCTGAGCTGGAGATCCTTTACCTTTTTATTTCTTACATTTTTATCTCCGAATGGAGGGTGTGGGATCTTATCAAACTCATCCTTTATTTAGTGTTCAAGGAAGGGAAAACAGAAACAAAAAGTTCAGTTTTCTACCTCACACCCCCTTCCCCATCCAACACCCATTCATTAAACGAGAAAAAAAAAGGGAGAAAAAGATAGAGCTGCAATTAGCATAATCAGGAATGAATCTGTTCAAACAAAAGGGAGAAAAAGAGAGCTGCAATTAGCATAATCAGCAATGAATCTGTTCAAACAATGTGATAGTCATCCCTGCCCTGCGCACTGTATTAACCTCTTGTTGCCTATCTATTTGAATCTGTTCTATCCAATCATTTCACTGTTGAAACCCCCATCCCAGAACCTTTTTGTTACAGACTCCACAGGCTTGAGCACTTTACATTGCACAAATTAATGTTTACAGGTTGCAATCACGAGTTTAACCTGTCCCTTGAGTTTGCCTCCCACTTAAATCTCAGTAACACCTGCAATAGTAAAATATTGGCTTGCAAATAAATTAGTTTTGTAGAACTCAACGTGGCATGGTTGGTTGTGCATTCCTGAGGACTGAGCCTCTCTGTTTCTTTGCAGGCAACAGCCAGGAGTACAGCTGCACCCACCAACTTCATATCAAAGAAATGATAGCAGGAGTGGAAGTGGGCGAGGCAACAAAATGGGTGGCAGTTCAAACAGGGGTAGACATAGCAATGACTCCGGCCATGGCCAGAGATTTCGTCCATACTAAGTGCTTTTGCTGCGTGCTTGCAGTCATAGATGAAGAAAGTGCTTCTCGTCATTGTCCGTTTTTTTTTCTTTGTTTTATTATCGTAGTGTAATGGAGCTGATTTTTGGAAACTTTTACGCTTGTATCTATATTGATTATTTCATTACATTTGTTCTTTGTGATGGTGGAAGTTTCACTGGTCCGTTTTCTCCCATGAAAAATAAATACAAGGCCATGCTTTCTCCAAAGGTATTTCCAGGTGGAGGTTTTACTTATGAGGCACTTTTCCGCAGCTAGCATGGCAGTAACATGATATTCCATTTTCTTTTTCAAAAAGATAAAAAGGAAGTGGCAGATCCAGTTCTCTAGCTAATACAAAAAAGACACGAAAAAGGCTACAAACAGGGTAACTGGAACAAGTGACATGGTTGCTTTCAGGTTATGGCCTATAACAGGAAGCAGATGCTGTGCGTGCCCGTTTCGTCTGAATGGTAAGATTAGAATTGCGAACATTGGATAAGAAATGTCGCTCATGCTTAACAGCCTATACAGCGTGAAGGCATGTGAGCATCATTTTTCGCTGGTGTCCCCTTTCTTTGGTGTGCTTTTACCTCCGCTTTTCTTTGATGGCCTTCCTGTTTTCCTCTTCTTTTCCACCTCTTTGTTCTGTGATGATCCTACCTTCTTTCCACCATTCTTCCGCTTAAATTCTGCAAGACCACAAAAATACCTATGAATTCTTCACAAGAAAGAAATTCCGCATAAGATAAAAGTACAAAATGCAAAGCCAATTTATTGAGAATTTGGCAGAAAGTAAAAAAAGATTGTATGCAGCTCAGTTAGCTGGTATTTAAGAACACTTCAGTTGATGTCAACACGACATGACATTCATAATACGGATGCAATAAGCTAGCACAGACATTTCAACAAAAGATTCAGTTCATAACGTGGGCTTTTATATCAAAAGAAAACATTTGGTGACGGTCAAAAGCAATACATAATGAGAGCACAGAACCTGCCACACAAGTGCACAGACAAGTGTATTCATACTTTAAAATTAGAAGAACAAGGATCAGTGCTCCCATGAGCTGATTGACAACTAGCAACAACATGAGGCATGCGGTTTGACAGCCATCTAGATGTAATAGTAATAGATATTTCTGTCATCCTTTTAAAACCCTCTCATCATTAATTTATGAAAACATGCCTTTTATAGTTATCTTTCTGCGGCATAATAGATCATTTGACATCATCTAATGATCCTACAACGGATTTTGATTAGATATCATGAGGTAGCTGTTTCCATCCTCCTTTGTTCTACATGTCTTTGCTTCCACATTGATCAGTGTAAGTGCAGCTAGATGAGTTGGGACAGAAGTGGTTATGCTCCTAGTATGTACTATTTCCAAAAGAGAACTAACTGTATTAAACTTCCAGGTGGTGTATATCATTGGCGCAATTATCTTACATTATCTTCTAAACATGCACACTGATAAGAAACTCTTGTCAGATAATAGTCCACCCCAAAATGCTGGTCTAGATTCAATATACGTGATCGAAAACCTTCAGAGCTAAATCTAAAGCCTAGAACTTCTTACAGGCAGAATTGATGCCCTAATATCTAAACCATGAGGGGCAACTGAAGATACAAAAATCCCATATTCAAGTCTTTCTTGTAAATATTTAGAAGTCCGTTGGCCCTCATCTCAATTTTTGTATCATTCAGACACGCAGCTAGGTCATCATCTAACCGATCAAACCAGGTCTATAACTGCCATAAAGTTGCAAAGCTAAGCATGGTTTCACACTGCCCACCCAACTATCATTCCCAACACATCCACACACAGGAAGTTAACAACCTAGAACACAAACTCACCTCTACATTAAGCAACAAGAAACTAAGCATGCTTGGAAGATCTTGCCTGGTCATCAGATACTTACCACTCAGGGAGACTTTGAGAGGCCCAACAAACTCAGGAAACTCAATATCTTCAAGCGCTTTAAACACATCATCGGCATTCATTGTTTGCCTCTTTGATTCCTTGCATATGTCATTAGCCCTAATCACGGTAATTATTAAAACCCATAATCACAAATAAAAAATCTCCTTCAAAAAAATGTACAGTATTTAATTTAAAATAAACAGCAGAAATAAATCAAAAAATTTCAATAAACCGAAAACCCCATAATCATTTCTTAAACTGAAACCTAACTAGGCAGGGTAATTGAGATAATTAGACCAGGAACCCTGAAGTTTCGATTTTTAGTTAAAAAAGAAAAACCCTAAACTGAATACGTGAAATGGTAGATTATTAAATTAAATTTGTGGGATTGTTGAAAGCTTACGTGGCAGAGAGATAATGGATGAAAATGCGAGCGCTTTCGGAGAAAGCGAGGAGGGCGTCTTTGTGGACGTTAATGTCAGAATCTTCAGGGGAGCAGCGGGAAAGAGGATCCTTCACCACCCGGCGCACAATAGCCTTCGGAAGCCCCTCAGCTTCTGCTACTACTTTCTCCGTTTCCATCTCTCTCTCTCTAAGATGCACAACAGTATTTCCCTTCCCTCTCTTTCTCTCCTTATAAATCTCTAGGGGTAGGGTAGGGGCCTTCTCGTTCCCGCCATCAGCAATGAATGAAGATGTCTCGGGCGATCAATTCAGCCCGCCCACCTTGGATCTTGGACTATGTTTTTATGGGCTTTATATTTGCTGGAAAGCCCATGAAACCGTCCAATGTTGTTAAGCACAAACCCGAGTAACACGGCAAGCGAAGAGATAATTAATCCAGCATTTCACTAAAATTCCGTATAAATATCTCGAATATAAATTTAATTATGTTTCATCTTTCCTCAAAGAAAGACGACCATGTATTGATGATTAATATCTTATTAATTACACGAAATTAATTCACATATCAAAAATATCTCCTCCTCACCCGGATAAGAACATGAACATATGGTCGTTGGACTCTTTCTTCACAATAATAAAAAAATATTTTCAATTCCAGCTAATACCAATAACATATAATATAATCTTATTATAAGAAAAAAAATATCTAATACACCATAGTTATCAAGTCCTTTTTCATCTTCCAATGTCTAAAATTCAAAGCTTTATTTGTATTTTAATTTTTAATCAAATGGAACTACATTAATTCAAAAATAAAGTTTTAGTGACACGATTATAATAATAATAAAATATTATTATTTTAATAAAAATAATTAATATAGTGACATATAAGTTAATCCAAGTAGTAAAAAGCATCTAATATAATAAATCGTGTATATTTTAACTAATATTATAAATCTTAAAATTAATAATTACATAAATTTTTAATAATATTAAAATTTATAAAATTTAAATTAATAATATTTAAAAAATAAATCTAAAATAAAAGAGTTAAATTATAACTTTTAAAATTAGCACTGAATGTTTATTTTCACGAGTGATTATTGTTTCACATGTTAAGTTTTAAGATGTCCCTCTCGTTGCCGACGCAAGTCATTCTTTCACTCCTGTTTCATGTTTTTTTTTTAAATTAAACACGTGTACGGCGATCACTTATCAACAACCAAAATTATGTCCAGCTCTGGGGCGAGACAACCAGTTGACCATTTTCAAACCCCGAAGCTAACTCAAGCAAGCAGCCGTAACCAAAGCCAAGAAGCAAAAGCTAAGGAAGGCCAACAAGCATTGGTAGCATAAAAATTCTCTCTTCAGTAATCTCCCAAATACAAAAGCACCTAGCTTTCTCGTTTGTTTCTCAAGCATTTCTTGAATCAAGAACCATGTTTTTTTTCTCTAAAAAACCACGATCATCATCATCATCTCATGCACCCTCTGCTCCATCTCTACCTGATTCATATGATCAACGAGGTCAGGCATACAGTACTTCTCATCAAAGTAACCACAGCCACCAGCAGCAGCAGCAGTCTTATTATGGACAGGGAAATGGTGGTAGCTCTTCATATGGGCACTCAGGTTTTCCACCAGGGACATCTCCAGATGTTATTAGGAGCTTTGAGATGGTTGATAGAGATAGGAGTGGATTTATTGACGAGAACGAGTTGCAACAAGCTATTTCTTCTGGTTACCAAAGGTTTAGTATTAGGACTATTAGGCTGCTCATGTTTCTCTTCAAGAATCCTCATGATCCTCTACGATGTGGTTGGTCTTTATTTCCTTTTCTCTTGTTGGGGTTTGGGTTTAATTGATGTTCTTGAGTTTTCTTGATTTTGTAAGACAATTTGAGAGGTTATCAGTATATGGGTCCATTGGATGTTAATTTCTTGTCATAGATTTCAACTTTCATTTTTTGAATTGGATTTATTGGTTTAATTCATGACCCGTGACTGGATATTTTGACATGTTTTACCATGCTGTGTACTAGAAAAACTGGATCTTGGATTGTTGTTTGCTTCACTATCGAAGAACTATTTAAGCTTAATTTTTGTATGCCAATGTTTTTGGCTTCTAAATAAAATTGGATTTTGGTTCTCTCTTTGATTAATTTCTTGGCCAGTTCAAATTGGGCAGCGGGAGAATGCCTTGATTCGTTTCATCTGCAATGATGTCTTTTACTTTAACTTTTTTGGTATCATTGCATGTATTGATTTGGCTGAACTTTCCTAATACAGGACCCAAAGAATTTGCTGCTTTATGGGGTTGTCTTGGTCAATGGAGGGTGAGCAGTCTCTTCTTGTTTCTCTTGGGTCATATTTCCTTCTTATATATTGCCTTTGAGGATGCGAGGCATTTAAACCATTCCATGCTCTTCATTCTTTATAACACCGAGGAAAGGTTAAAACATGGAGTAGGATAGCTGATTTAGATTTTGCAGGAAAATCTATTGTGAAACTTAGTTGATTTAGCTGGATGAATTATTTGACAGTGGCCTATCTTCGCATAGCTGTTCTGATTCTCATTCATCTCAAAAGCATATGTTTTTCTTAACTATTATTAATTCCTGCAGAAGCAAAGCAATTGACAAATAACAGTGTTCGGAACTCCTTCACAACATCTATTACTAAAGCATTTTGCTTCTGATATGGCAAATCAATTATAAAGTTAGCTTTCCATAGAATTGATGATGGGAGAAAGGGGAAAACTAGGAGAAAAAAAATTCTTTTTCTTTTTTTCAAGAAGAAAAGTTTACACCAGAATTCTCAATAAATAAATTTGGAATAACTTGGTGAGTGCTCTTTCTCGTATAGCTGATGAACATTTGGAACAAAATTTTAAGGTTTTCACTGATAAGGGAGGAGCATATTTTATATTGCAGAAGGACCAGATTAGTTTGTCAATGCAACCCAATTCTAGGTTCACCATACATCATTTGAGTAGTTGGTTGGCAAACCACATACTTGTCATTAAGTGGCTTTGCTTTTTCAGCACTATTTTCTTATGCTATTACATGACATGCTTTTTCGCAATTGAAAGAGAACTTTGTTTTTCTCTTGCAGGGCATATTTGAGAGATATGATAAAGACAGGAGTGGGAAAATTGATTTGTTTGAACTGAGGGATGCTCTTTATAGCCTTGGGCTTGCTATTCCATCATCGGTTCTTCAGGTTCTGATTTCTAAGTATGATGATGGAAGTGGCCAAAGGATTGAACTCAATTTCGACAGTTTTGTCGAGTAAGTTTTCCCATGCTGATGCTCTTGTATGCATTTGTAGTACCTTTACTTCTGATCTGACTAAACTTGTTTTATTGTGTTTGATGTGCAGGTGCGGCATGATTTTGAAGGTAAGATCATAGTCCTACAAATTTAAACTCTTGTTACTTTCATCCTTTGATTCCATGTTTGTGTTCCTAAAGTGACCTTGTAAATCCATTGTGATTTCAGGGATTGACTGAAAAATTTAAGGAGAAGGATAAGCGGCATACCGGCACAACAACATTTAATTATGATGAATTGATGTCCATGGTCATTCCATTTCTTGTATCGTATGACTGACCACCGAACTTTTCATTTTACAATACTAGATTGAGATAGTTCTTGTATGCATTTTTTTTTTTTTTTTGTGTGTTGGTATGAGTTCTTGTATTTAAATTTTTTATTTTAGGGAAGAAATTTTCAAATTTGAACAATGATGTGAAGCCTCAGAACGATGATTCGATCTTACTTTTCGAAGGTTTCTTAGAATGGCAAAGTTGAAGTCACTGGGATTTCAAACTCTTCCCAAGACAAATTTGAAGTGAGCTTGTCAAAGTAACCAGATAAGTTAAACTTTTACTTAGTCGAGAAAGTGTTGGAATTTATTTGCAGAGACAAAATGTAAAGCGCTCGTCTTCACCTTTGCTGCCAGAGCAAACACTGTTATCCTGTCATCTTATCTCCTTTTGGCCTTGAAGTATACAGCACACTGTTATTTGATTCAGGATTGTAGACAGCAAACAAGGCAAAGCTAGAAGTGACCAAAAAGTGCACTCTCTCTCACACCACCTGGGATCCTTGATAGTTTGAGCACATATGGTTTGCTTACAAGCAATGCATTAAGTGGCAACTTGCCATTTTCTCTGTCAACTAGGCTAGAATTCCAACTTGGTTATGCTGCGATGCCTTCAGAATTCAATTTTACGGACAGGAAACCACAAAACTCATGCTCAAAGCAAAAAAAATGGGGCCACTATTTCAAAACGGGTTCGCTTTGGTAAATTCTCAGGGGCCAAAAGTAATTGAAAAATTGCAATCTCGTTGTCGCGCGTGTAGATCGTCGCACTTGATCTAATTCTATCTGACATGCAACTGTAAGATTTGAAAAAGGGTAAAACTTTTCTGAGCGAAGGGCGTTTGTAGGAACTTGGGAGTGTGAAAAAGGCGAGACCTTTGAGAAGCCCAAACACAATACCACATCGACAAATCACGAAACTAGTATACCTTCTTGGGTATAAAACAGCAACAATTGATTTACCTCGCGTCTTTCTAAATGATTAATTCAAGAGGACAGTTCTAAGGAACATGATCATAAGCCTGTTGGACCAATGGTGGCCGTATGATTCGAAGTCGAGTACGGCTGATGACTCCATTTACATATATAAGCGGCCTTTTATTTATTTATATATTTTATTACATGCAAAGAGTGTATGGCCTGGTAATTATTTCATGAGGTCGCTGGCCTGGATGCAATATATTTTAGTTGGGCGGTGGCCCGACACCTAGTAGCCAAGGGCCAGAGATGCACGTGTGTGTGTGTGTGTAATCTTTATGGAAGTGGCCTCGCGGCGAATAGCTCGGAATGGGTACTGTGTTCATGTTTAAACTCTTGCTAGGTACAAATACTTCCATGGAATCATCGGATTTAGATAAAGTTCATGAATTGACCGTAATGTACCTGCAAGAAATTCTTTGCCAAGAACTTGTGCGTTTCCATGATTAGTGGTCTTCGTGCATACTTGGTATCATACTTGAAATTAAAAAAATAATAATTTAATATATTTAGTTTAATATATTTAATTGAAAATATTTTTAAAATTAAAGTTATAAAATAATTTAAAAAATATATATTTATATTAATAAAATATATACTTTATATAAAATAATTTTTATTATTCTATTAAACAATTTATAATTATATTATGTATAAAACTCATCTGATAACAACTATAATTTTTATTATTTTTTGAGCGTATAATAAAATTAGATAAAATATTATCAAATATAAAATTAATATTATCATGTGAGTAAATTTAATTTATTCTATTCTAGTTTTTCAAAAAAAAATTAATCACATTATGATGCGAAAAAATTTAATTCACTTTAATTTAGTTTTTTTAAAAATCTATTAAAAAATTAATATATTAAAAAACTATAATTGCACTGTTCACTTCACAATGCAATTAGCAATTTCAAAAAGTATGAATTCCTTGCTTTCTAAAAATTAGTTTCAGCCACAAATAAATAATGGGATCTACATTTTTTATTTTTTAACAATTCATAACCAAATGACTAATTGATGTATTTTAAAAAAAAACACGAATTCTAACGCATAGATAAATGAACCCTCCATCAAGGTGCATGGTGCTAATTCAAAAAAAAATGTACAGAGCACATATTTGTGTTAGGATTAAGAAATAAGAGTCTTAAAATATATATGGCTTAATGACACTAAATAATATATAGTATAAATTCAAATTAAATCAATTCAATATATATATATATCAATCAATGTTAACACACAGCGCTTGCTTCTTTAGAGAAGAATGAATTTAAAGCACGTTGAGATTGTTGCTTTGCCATGTGAACATTTGAAAGTAGAAGTAAGAACCTTCATAATTTTTTTTTTCATATATAACATAAATATCATAAAAAAATTAATATTTTTTGTATTTTAGTCTAAGGCAGGGCATGATTTGTCTAAAAGGCTCGTGACAAGTGTTTCTTTATACCTCACAAAATCCCACTTCGACAGATATGGGATATAGCTACTCTAGGTCTACAGGAAGCTACTACCATTATAAAAAAAAAAAAAAAAATTCAATCTACTTAATTAATTTATAAAAATTTTTATTGGCTCTTGAAAAATCAAGGCTTCCATGAATTTTTTTTTTTTTTTGAAATATACGTATACACAAACATGACTTTAACCCTGTTGATTTTAGTAGAGTTCAAGCTTGTCGCCTTTCTTTCACTGTGTTTCTTAGAAAGTTTTCTTAGCCCTCCTCATCTAAAGCTGAAATTCCATTAGAGAATGTATATATAACCGAATCTTGTGTTAAGAATTTGAAAGGCAGATTCAATCTTTTTAAACCAATACAACATATGGTTTTGATTTTTTTAAAATACAATTATTATTTTTAATTAAAAACAACATTGATTTAGAAAAAAACAATTTGATATATCATACAGATTAATTAATAGGCGGACTCATCAAATTATATTGAATTTTATAACTACGATGATTACAAGGATATTATTCATAATTAACTTGTGGCACCCAAAATGCAGAAACAAGACTGGCTGAAGCTTTGTAAATCTTCAACGTGTTCTTCCTTGTTAGGCATTTGAACAAGAATTGAGTTTAACAATTCTACCTAGCTTCTCACTTTCTATTTTCTTTTGAGAAGGAAGAACTCTGCCCAGCATAAATTCACCTTACTGCCCCCGATATTTCTATAATTTAAATCTATAGAAGAACTACCGATCCAGGATGCAGCATCCTGACATGTTAGTGATTAATGTCATTTTTTCAATAACAGTACACAATGAAACTGGTATAGATGCTTTGCTAGACACTGAAACAGCTTTAGCCATGTGTTTGTGTGATCGGAACAAGACCCTTGCTGCCATTCTCTCTCCCTGCATAAAGATATTGTGGCAGTGTATTAGTCATGTGGTTGAGCAATACATCACAAAACACCAGAAGTTAGATTATAGTTAAAAGCTGTGAACATCATAATTAATTGGTGGCAGCTTATAGTTACATGCTGTGAACATCATAATTAATCGGTAGCAGCTCCCCAACACACAAAAAGGCCGGCGAGGTGACATGTTGTGGATGTCACAGCTTGTGCAAGCCAACTGCTAGCACAACTTGGTCTCTGTTTTTTCCTTAAACATTTCAACATTACATGGTGGCCTCTAAGAGCCAAACAAGAATATCTAACAAAGCAATTGGTACTATAGCAAGGGCGGGGTCAGCAGTTTTTTTATCCTGGACTATTAGATATATATAAATTATTTTTTAAAATTAATCATTCATTTATATATATAAATTTTTCAAGTTAATATTAAAGTTTTAATCCGAGTTTAAAGTACATAAAATTAAAAAAAATACACTATCAAAATTAAACCCTTTCATATTTTATGGAATAGAATTTTTCTATAATTGAATCTAAATTAATATCTTCAATAAGTTTTCGTCCAATGTAAATCATCATAAAATATGTTAAAAACTTATTTTTTATTTTATTGTGAAATACAATTTTAACATATTTTATTGTTAAAAGTGTTTACTTTGTAATGGTAATAAAAATGAACAAAGTCAAAATATAACGAATTAACACGTCAATCAAAGATAGGATTATAATTTATTTATTTTAATTAATCCTCGATATAATTCAAAAATAATAAATATATTCTAAAAACTCTTATAATAAATAGTATTAATCTTCTAATAATATTTTGTCTGATATCTCAAATAATATATTTTTTATTTATTGAAATCTTCATAAAAAAGATATGGGAATTCTAATGTCAAAGCGAGGGTTTTTTAATGGGAATATATTTAGCCAATCTAAGAATCACTGAAAAAACTTTTTTCATAACTTATTCAAACTATTAATTGCTGCATTTGGAGGTTAGGATTTATTTTTTTACCTAGTCTACAGCCCCCCTTCAGCCTTGTATACCCCTCCGCCCGGGGACCATAGAGAGATTGATGCAGCAACTTTTTTAGGTCTTGTAAAGGTAGCTCATTATATATTTGATTATGTAGCGACCGAGAATCAAATATCATGGTAGGAGCTAGCTAGTCACTCTATCGAAGGGCCAAGTGGAATCGCCTGTATGTAAATCTTATCCTTGTTTGGGCCATTTCTGATGCAACAAGAAGTATCTGTGTGAAAGCAGGTTGTCCGTGATGTTGATAGCCACCTGCCGACTTTATGCTCAAGTATCAATTGATGTTACACGTGTTGAATATGAATCATAATTTTCATTCAACAAAAGGGTTAAAGTTAATCTTTCACTGGAAGCCACAAGGCTGGCTGAGGAATAAAAACTGCTATAAAAAACCTGAAGAGTCGTTTGTTCTTAGCTTTTACAAAATAAAAGTATTGAGCGGAGAAAGTAACTTGGACTTGAATACTTAATGCCTAGACGTGTTGGAAACTACTACAGCTATGATGCTAGAAAAACTTTGGACCGGACCATCCTTTGGTATTCATGAAATATCAAAGAGCTCACCAGACAGCAATGTTAAGCCTACTGATGTTCACTTGAAATAGACATGGGAGAACGATACAACTATGGCTGATGCGATAAATTCTCCTTTACGATAGAGATAATAAAGGTGTAGACAAA